GGGGGGGGGGGGGGGGGGGGGGAGTTATTCAAAAGTTATAGAAACCTTGTATTACCTTGTTAAAAGTTACTGAGATTTCATCATTGTTTTGCCACAACAATTAACTAATTTTGTGTTGAAACCTATGGAAGATTAAAACTGTTTTCTGATAAAGCTGATGGTTTCAGATACTGCACTATGATTAGATCAATATTTATTGAACAAATTGAACTAGAACTGTTTTGAGTTTTCAGGCTATTGATCCTATTCAAAAATGGGTGAAGTTAGCTTGAGAACAAGTGAGAGTTGGAATGGAATAAATATATGTGTGCCTTATATTGTAATGCAGCAATCCTGTGCATTTTTACCCACAATTGAATGGAAGATGCTGCCTGGTAAATTGATTAGGACTGCTGCAGTGGAAGCTCCAATAATTTGGGCTTCAAATGTTATAGTAAAAAAATAGTTTGCTTTTGATCCAGTTTTTTGGGAAAAAAGAGGTATGTAATTTTCCTTCTCCCAGCTATTTTTTAAAAGCTATATAGTACAGTTGACTCGATCAGACAACTTTTGGCCAGGCTCTGCATCTGGCCTGAGCAGAAAGTGTTCAGGCTCCATTCTCAGAACCATACCATGCAACATACTTTTAAAAGCATTTGTTCTTGCAATGTTATTGGAAGAACTGTTTTAAGAAGCTACAGAGGAGTTACGGATGTCTATTCCTTTAAAGTGTCTTATGAGTGAGCATCCCTGACTTTTGAATAAGCCTAGCTGTATTTGTGGTTTGCTTTTAATAATGTGGACGTGCTCCTCATTTTAGAGCACTATGTAGATTCACAATGATGTCATGAGAGAGGACCTGGACCTTGCATTCAGAAATACTGTTTGTCATGAGGCTTTGTGTTTTTGGGAAATGATGAGATAGCTCCAGCACACGTACCTTTTTGTGAACTTCCCTCCCTTAATTCATAACAGAGATCACTCTTAGTTCTACTTTCAAGCATGAAAATGTGCAATTTCCAGCTCAGTTAATAAATAACTGGGTCTCTAGATCTTCCCCTCCCATTTCCCTGTTTTCACAGCTTCTGCTCTAACAAGGTTGGGATACACTAAGGCAATACTTGATTTATAGCCTACCATTTCCAGTGTTTCTAAGTTAACTATTTTTCTGCCTACAAATAAAGCTCCTCCTTTTGACTAGATGCCATCAAATCAACTCTTATGTGTGTAGCTATTTTGACAACTTCCTCCCCGCTTAGGGTTCAGCAAGGACATTAATTACTCTTGGCTGGTAATTAATTACTCTTGGCTGGTAATTTCTCATGTTGGCAGCATGATAGTTTCCTGGATCTTCCCTATTAAGATAATCTTCACAGAGTCAATATGTCCCTTACTGAGATGGTCTTGCTGTCCATCTTCTTTCTTATAGTCTTATCCAGGGCTACTCTGCAACAGGCAAGCTTTCAGCAGCCAGAGGTGCCTAAAATCCATCCAAGTTCACTTCTCCTTCCAAACTCCAAGTTGAACTAACTCCCCTTTTCCTGCCAGCACATCAGCAACTTTTCACTTCCCCTCGCCCTGGAAAAGTTTCTGTGAAACTGTAATTATTTATCTCCTTTGCTCAATACTTTTCCCAGGCCAGTTTTCCAGCCTGTGCTTTTTAAAATAAAAGAGTGGTGTGTATGTGTGGAGACTACTGAACAGGATGGCATCTGGACCAAACTGTGAAATCAAGAGATATTTTAATTGAGTATACTGCCAGATCCTCTTCAAATTCAAATTCCTCTTGCAGTAACTCAGATGGTTTAAAATCTTGATTGATAAGCTGATCTGAAGTATTTACACTGCTGATTGCCTATGATTCTTGAAAAAAGACTTGTCAGCTATTTTCAATTTGGGATTGTCCCAGTATGTAAGTCTACTGTATGAATAAAAGTCAAAATTATATTTCTGTCCCAATGTCTTCCAAATGTTCTTTGCAGCATTTAATGCAGGAAATACAAAAGAGCTATGGCTAAAAATAGAAGCAAGCACCTGCCATGATATCAAACAGATCATATAGAAACTTTCTAATTGTGTCTATGATGCTTTTTTGTTTTGATCACTTGCATTCAATAAAGAAATTGAAGTAAAAAATAAATGCCCAGTGGTAAAGCTGAACATTGGGAAAGTCCTTCCCATATATTTTTTAAATCTCAACCTTCTTAAAATAATTTAAAAATATTAGCATAGGAACAACCCCTAGTAGATATATCAATCTTTTTTTTAATATAATTTTATTGAAAAATTTTAAAAAGAGTAAAAATTAATACAAACTAAAAGAGTAAGAAAGAAAAAAGAAAAAGGAAGAAATAAAAGAGCTAAAATGCAAAAAGAAAAGAAAAGAAAAGTAGAAGAACAATAGAAAAGAAGGAAAAAATATAAAGAAGTGGCTTCCAATCTTCTTTACCGCAGTTATAAGTACAATTGTAGATTTACCTAGATATATCAGTCTTGAAGCCATGTTCTGTAGTAACATGGCTATAGTTGGAGATCTTCTCCCAGAAGTCCCCTGGGTCTACACATCCTAGCTTTACTACTTGCCTTGAGGTAGCTGCTTGGTAGTTGGCATGTGAGATAGGGCTCCCTGGCAAATTAAAAAGAAAAAGAAAAGAAAAAAATTAAATAGATTCTATACTGCCACCTCTTGGCTCTGTAGTATTTAGGCTAAGGGAATTCCCT